AAAAAAAAAAAAAAAAAAAAAAAAAAAAAAAAGCAGTATTCAAGGCAAAAGCAGTGTGTAGTGATATAAACAAACAGCATCTAGAAATACACAGAGAGTATGATGAATGCAATTTCGGGAAACTAGGAGGATTTCTTGGAGTAAGTAGTATCTCAACTGGGAGAAATTTGAAGAGACATTTAAATCTTATTTTAAATGCTATTAGTTTTCAGCTTACTTATCTGTAGAGAAAAAATAACTTCAATATGATGATTAAAAACTTACCATCTGTGCCTACCTCCTAAAGTAGGATATAACACATTTCATGCAGTGGTTCAATTCAAGGGCTCCAGCATCATACTGTCTAAAGTCTTTGCCGTAACTAGCCTAACTAGCTGTTACCCCGATTAGATTTCATGTATTTTCTCTTCATCATTAATGTCCATGACAGTCAGCAAGCCAGTAAGTAAATGAGAGTCAGATGACCAGTAAGTGAACAACTCCAAAGAATCTCTTTGTTACACATTTGGCACATAATAAATATCAACGAATGTCAGTATCAAGATTATGTACTACTATATCTTTACAAAAGTTAACAGTATTTACTGAGCTCAGTTTATGTACTAGGCATTGATTTGGATTTTGTGCTAAAGCCGATTTACCACAAAGGTCATGAGAACTTTAATTAAAATGAGCTCTACAGAAAAAACATTAAATACACCCTTGAGGTACTGACTTACCGCTGATGAAGTTAAATTCGTGTCTCCCCAGATAACAATGCCTGCAGCTCCCAAGGCAGCACTTTCTCCTATGGTATTAATTAGATCTTGCTAGATTGAAGAGAGTAGAGTTCATTATTCATTATTCACTATTTTAAAGTGCAACAGGGATTAGGATTAGAGGCTGAGTTTCTTATACAGGGCTGTAATTGGACTTACGTACTCCACAGAAATTATTCCCCACTTTCTTAGAATAATACAAACATGCAATAAACGAATGTTTAAAATTATCCTCCATATGCAAAGGCATACAAATATTTTTGAAGAAAATTTACATTTTGCCATTCAGGATTTTATTTTGGAGACAATTTGCTGGTAAATTATTATCAAAAAATATTTATTTGAACTTGCTTAAGGATATACATCCACAAACTATATGCATGTGATCCATAAACAGAAGCCACAAGCTCTCCTTCTCCATATACAGTGCCCTTAGCCAGTTCCCTTCGGCATTTTGCCATGTTCCCCTGTTGAACTACACCTCTGCAGTGACTTTGTTGGTTTGTTTTTATTTTTCATTTTGATTCCAAAGCAAGAGGACAGTGTTAAAGGTTTCCAGGCTGGGATTTTTGTCCAACCTTTATATTTTGCCCCTGAAATAATTCTTAATTTCAAGGTATAGGGTCTAATGAGCTTCATTTATAATTCATGTGATAATAACAAAACCACCAGGATTTTTTTCCCAATATGGTTAAGATAGATGAAAAAAAAAAAAAGATCTCAGCAAGAGGAATTTTGATTTTATTGTCTTAAAAGATTACTGTTTAGTTTTTATAACATAGATAGGTCATTATAGTAGGAACGTAAGGATTGAATATATTGTTAAATTATATTTTTCCACTCATTAGGATACTACACACTTACCTTTTACTTTAAAAATGAATTTTTAAAATTATATGTTGAAAGCTATGATTTTGTGGAAAACAAAAGCAAAAACTTCAAACTTTATTTTGCCTCATCCACTTTATCATAGTGTCAGTACTGAGAGATGAATCGTCCTATCTGACACTCCCACTCTACCGCTCAAAGGTTTTATAATGTCAATTTTTTAACCCTTTTCTTATTCTGGGCAGTTTTCTGGTGATTTTCAAAACGGGAAGAGGTTTTACTTAAACAAATTTCTACTTTGGATTTATTTCCTTTTCTACTCTCCATGACCATAGTACCGACTGAACAGGTCACTGCCAACATGACAGGTAGAGAGGAGGGTTTATGAGGTTCAAATGAGGAGGTGCAAATCAAAGGACTAAAACTTGTCGATGTCTGATGGGTAGGAACAGAGGAGAAACTCCCCATGCGGTATGAAGACTGCAGACTTTACATAGTCCTTGTCTGTAGACCCTTTGGCTAAGACAAAAGAGGGTAGAACGTCTCACCTCACTCATGTTATAACACCCTGCACAGAGCCACGTAATTAATAGTCACATAGTGTGATCAGAGGGAAGACATCCCCAACAGCCTTTCTTTGGGTTAAGGCACTGTCATCGAAGAAGGAAGTGGGTATAGTATTTTGTACTCATAGGTTATAGATCCATATTAAGTAAGTATGGAAGCTACAAATATTTACGTTGACAGCCTAACCACCTGGGATTGATAGTAGCCTGTTCACAATGTGGCCTTCAGTGTCATTGTTATCGTTTAAATATGAAGTGACCACCAGCCTCGTGTGGAGGACTTCCAAGGCAGCCGTGTTCAGAAGTGCACCCTGAACAGGTGACTGCATCATGAGGGCACTGACCTCATCAACAGGTCAGTGAGTTCATTATCTGGGCAGGCGGACAGGAGGTGGGGCCTATCTAGAAAAAGTAGGTCATCAGAGACCTACCATGCTTTTGAAGGTTATAGCTTTTCTCTGGCAGTTTCCCTTGCTGTCTGCTTCTCGGGTACCCTGAGGTGAGCAGCTTTCCTCCACCATGCCCTTTGCCGTGATGTTTCTACCTTGTAACCTACTAATCACGGACTGAAACCGTAAGTCAAGATAAATCTTTCCGCCTTTACATTGTATATATATCAAGTACTTTGTCCCAGAGTCACAAAGGTGATTAACATAGTCCTTATCAAAGAAAATAGGTGAGGACTGATTAAAAACGGCATGTCCTAGGCTGGGGATTTAGCTCAGTGGTGCTGCCACCTGCCTCACAAGTGCAAGGACCAGAGTTCAATCCCCAGTACCAAAAAAAAAAAAAAATGCAAGTCCTCAAGCACATATTGACTAGAGATAAGAAGCAATAACAGCTTTCAGGGAAAGTCTCTCACCATCTCATTCACACTGTCAGGGTGCCTAATGAATTATATAGAAGCTGTGTTTTGGGAATCAGAAAACCAAGGATCCTAACACTGAAGTCACAGAAAATTGACTTTGAGAGAGCATAAGCCACATGGGTGGTGTCACATGAAAGTAAAGGAATGGGGCCAGGGATTTAGCTCAGTAGTTCTGCCTCCTACTTCGCAAGAGCAAGATCCTGAGTTCAATCCCCTGTACCAAAAAAAAAAAAAAAGGAAAAGAAGAGGTAGTGAATATTATTCACCCAGGTCGCAGTGTGGCATAGGGCTACTTTGTTACTGCTCATGATCCTAGGTCCCAAGTCAAGTTTTCAGAGGTCAAGGGTAGGGATACCCAAAGGAGTCATCCTCTATCCTTGTGTTTTAGCCCTGACACCAGAGTACCTGTAAGGGAGGTTCCCACTGTGGGGAGGTGGAGTCTTACTAATCATCTCCCTTGTGTGTTAACCAGAAGGAATACTAATTAGTTATAACAACAATGACCTTTACATCTACAGCCAAAGAAATGCCTTCCATTGTTTTTGTAAAACACAGGATCAGGCTATAGTTAATCCACATTTATATGTAGGTAGGGTAGGCAATCTTCCTATGAAGTGGAGTGTTACTGCTTCCCAATTATTTCCACAAGCCATGGATGCTGCCTGAGGTTCCATTCTTAAATATCTCACGGTTAAATTTAAGCTTTTGACACCAAACAAAAAGCAATAGTCTTACCAATGTACTTCTGTAGGGCTCAAATTTTTCCTATACTCTTTCTTATTTGACTTTCATAATATATCTGCTAGGTAAATAGGGTAGGTGATACTGTCCCATTTTTATATTAAGACACTGAGGTGCTGAGGCCTAGTAGGATTAATAGATTTGTTGTTTACTGGTAAATTTTTTTTTCCTCATCTCTACTCTGCTTATATTCATTCTAAAATGCAGACACTAAAAATGTCAGCATTGGAACCCATAGTCACTTAGAGTTTGGTACAAATAAATATCTGGTTTCTAAAATTTTGTGAGCACATTTTTATGGTGGAGAGTATAATGGTAGGTATAGTCATAGCTAAAACACTTGTTCTCAGAATAAGATGAGAACCAAAATGTTGCATTTTTTTCCTGAGAGAGAAAAGTATTTCTGAGACTGTTGCTACTAAAGAAAGTTTACACAAGATTTGCACAGAATGTACCAGTAGTCTAAACTAATCTTTTGAATGAATACTTTGCCCTTTAAAGTTTATTGATTCTTGCAAAAGTAAATTTATTATCACTAAACTTGTTTGAACTAAACATAAAAAGGGAATTTAACAAAAATTGCTAATTAACTTTCCATTCCAGAGTTAGAATTATTTTGTGAAAATTTTGATATAAATTTTTAAAACCTTTGTGATAATATTGCTCTTCTTTCATAATTGATTCCACTCTTTATGGCTGATTTTCCTCGGTAGTATGAACTTCAGCCCACATGAAAACTTTCTTTCCTCATCTCATGCACTTTCCACACTTCGTGCATTTGCCCCATTTCTCCCTGTAAGCTCCACAGATATCTACAGATCACAGCAAAGCCCATACCTGGGCTTTCCCAAGACTCCTTTTTTGGGTGCCCAACACTCAGAACATTTTTGTATTTTAACATAGTTTGGTTAAGTTAAAATTCGTAAAAGAGGTCTGCGATCACCCGGCGGCGTGCGCGCGAGCTCCCGGCCTGTGCGGGAGCTCCCGGCCTGCGTGACAACAGACCCAGG